ATGCAGTTGGCATGTAAGCAGCACAATAGAGGCTAAAATAGCCCACCCCCTCACTTTTATATTCCCCGCAACTTTGTGTACTATCTAATTTGGTTCATTATTGTCAAGGTGATGGGCAATTGCAATTATGCTCTTATCTTTTGTGCGGCAAGCTATTATTTAAAGCAACTTAGCGATGCAAAAATTGAACTAATTTGGATTCTTGTTAGGCCAAAGTTTGCGAAAAATTGGAAACTATATTTATCATAATCTTGATTATCAGGGAATATGCGTTTCAATGCACAGACTGAGAGGAGAATTGGCGATTTGGAGACCAATTAAAGAAAATCTCGTATGGACATAATATCTTATCGCCCGCTCTTAGATTCCAAAAGGCATTATGAAACTTGATTCATTTAAGCACTTTTTATATAATCGATTCAAACTTGCATGAATAGCCATTAATTTTATCAATCGATCAACAAGCAGATGCGGATGAAGTCGTGGGAAATGAATTTGAAAACGTAGCCCTACCCTCCAATAGTGAAGTGTCAAACCTAGTGTTTCGAAAATGCATCTTTATCAAATACATCTATCCCCCCCCCTCACATCCTTCCTTCCATCTCTTACTAAACTTTTTTTCCGAATTCCGCTGTCATCTCATATTTTGCTTTCCCAGAGGGAAAAGTAATTTAGTGCGGTCACAGGATTTTTCCCCAGTGAGTAACGAGCCCATGATTACTGATGGGACGGCTATAAATTAAAGTCGCCAAATTAAGGTAGATAAAGTAAAATGATTTGAGTTTTAGCGAAGTATCTACAGCAATGTCCCTCTTTCATACTGCACACGGAAAAGTCTGCCAATTTCAACCTAGTGCATATAAAATGGAAGATACATTTTGATTTTGAGGATAGATTGGCTTTGAGAAGAGTCTTAAAATATCAGTAATAATTTGAGCAAGTCGATGTTAGGGATAAAAGTCTCACTAATATTATTTTATAATTCCTTCCAGTTATTTTTGATCTCCCTGTTAACTGCCATGTATTATCACAGAAACCAAACCTCCTTAAAATTTCTTGGGGGTTAATTTCAGTTCTGACATTTACCAACCAGAGAAAACAAAACAATTTAGCATAGAAGTGGATTAGTATATCATCTGAAAGCTTAAAATAGCAAGACAGGTAATTTAGGCTTTGCTTCTTGTATAGCTCTAAATTATGATTACATTCGCTTCAAGGTACACTCAAAAATAGTCAATTTTGATTATTAAAAGTGAAAGAAAGATAGATCTTTTAATGGGAAACTGTTATAAATTGAGTCATTATTTTAATTTAAAGTTACCAGTTTATTCAGGTTATAAAAGCATTTATACAAATATTTTTTTCCACTTATGATGGAATTCCAAGAGATCCAAATTGTTTGAGAAGATGCATAATTAGAAGTTAGAAAAATGTCCCATTTGATCAACAAAATACTTCAAAAAATGCTTGTCATTTCGACTCCAAGGAGGGAAAAATAACATTTACAACATCATGAGATAGAAAAACAGGATTGAATTTTTAGTTTTAAACAGCCTTTTGAAAGTAGCATTAGAAGCAGTAATGGTTAAATTTAAGAACAAGAACTTATCGAAGAAAATTTGTGACCATCGACTTTATCTGATAAATGTCACTGACATTGATGAAATTAGTTCTTTTATTAATTTAAACAAAATTTGGTGAGGAAAATTTTGAAAGGTTGTGGAGAGGGGGGAGAATAAACAGTATGGGAGAGCCTAAAGGGTCAAGATTAACTTAAATAATTTATGATTATAAAAGTTAATTGTTTGCAGTTATTTAAACATGTTCAAGAAATGAGTATCTGTACCCTAGTGGGTCTGAAAACCAAAATTTGTCATGAACTATCTTGCAAACAACAAGTTCACGTCGGTTTAAGAAACTATACTTTTTGAAATTCGACTTCCAAATAAAACTACGTGTCATACGTTCTCCAACACTTAAATTTGAATTTATAGCACTTCTTCCCCTTTTCCGAAGCAACACCAACTTGGACCCCAGGAAGAAGGAGAGGGGTGAAGAGTGTACCCAAAAACAACGGTTCTTTGAAGATCCTAGATCTGTATTTATGGAATTGTAATCTGATGCCCGAGTAGCCAATAACTACAGCAATAGGTTCTTCACTTGCGGCTTTATATTTCCAGATATGAGAGTAGGAATTTAGTAGTCGATAATCCAATACTTAGGAGATGAGACGATTAATAGTCTAAGTTCCATATCAAGTTCAACCGTGGTTTCTGACTTCCTAGAGGAAGAAGCGTTTTGGGAGGAGGTAGAAAGGATCAAATTTCCCAAAAGTGCGGGCGAAAATGATGTGTGTGTGTGTGTGTGCGTGTAAAGCTAGCGTGACTTCCCCTTATCTTAGCTTCGGCGAGGGAATACACATGTTGGGTTTTTATGGCGTCTTCCTTATTCAACTTCCCCAATTCCCTTCCACACTCCCTCCTCCTCCTCCTCTTTTCTTCTCCCCCACCTCCTTTTCTCGAAGCGAATCCATAACTTGTTCCAGCAGGTTGGCGGCGGGGAAAAGGGCTTTGGGATTTATAAAACATTCCCAATTCACTGCTTTCTTATTTCCACATGTTTCATCCGATTGCCTGGTTTCGAATTATAATCATTCCAGCAATTGCTAAATTACAAGCGGTGTCCCCATGATAACTTTCACTAAAATTTATGCACATGTTAGGAACAACTTTGTCCCCCCAAACTCCATTTTGGATAGAGGGAAAAGATCTGGAAAGGGTCTCGAAGCTAAAGGTTTCAGTGGAACATATAAATAATGGATATCATAGGAATGCAATCAGGAGCCGAATTTAGTGCACTTAAATGCAGAAAAACTTTATATTTAATTCCCTAAATTAGATATTTGGAGATAGGCACCTGTTATTGTAGTTATTTGGTTGAAAAGCAGTCTCTTTCAACTCTTTAATTGGATCTGGCTTACAAAATGCCAATATTCCACTAACTCTTTTGAGATAATATAAGTAGGCAACAATTTTATAAGATTCCAAATGTAATTATCGAATAAATTAAAACCAATTTGGGGCACAGTACAGTATTTTTTGGCAAAAATTGATTTCAATAAGGTAGTTAGGAAAAAGGTTATTTTGAATGTTAGTGATATATATCTCAGCACCCAGTAATCTGATCATTTCGAATAATTTTTGAAAACATGTCTCCTAATTACTCAAAATTAAGCAAAACAGGAATTTATATATCACAAATCCTGTAAAATAAGTATAAAAATGAAAAGGTACTCTTCTTAAACTTAGAGCGAAAGGTCATCCAATTACTCATCATGAAGTTCGAGCAAACGGCAGCAGACACATTTCACCACCTTCCAATTAACTAATCACCAAAATACCTATGACGCTCCATATACTGATGCCGGTTGCTTTTTCCCGGTTAATACTAATCTTACCTTTTCTCTGCCTTTGTGTCTGTCTGTCTCTTTAACATCTTTGAATCACTCTTCTGTTCCCCCTATCCACTTTTTCCCACTTTGATGTTCCTCCCCTCTGTGGAGCCCGAAGTCAGCTAAGGGGCTAATGATACAAGTGTCATAATGCCCGCCATTTGAAATAAATAAATATTTGTTCATTTATATGCCAAACTACATTAATAATTATTTTATCAATCTTGCCAATTAGTCGCGAAGGAACATTAAAAAGTTAATTTTAGATTTCGAACGACCTCTTTTATTTTCTGTTTAAATAGAAATTTCAAAATTACATTTGTCAAAAAAGGAATGTGTCCGAAATTGAAGGAGCTTGGTTAATATTAGACCATCATATTAGAAAAGTCATTCCATTGAACCGTTTCGAGCCACAATTCCCAGTCGTCTTTGGCCTAATTTTGTGGTTGAGTAACTTTTAGATAACAAATGGTAAAGAGTCAAAATTGTATTCTATTATTTTAGAATTTAAGTTAAACTATGAATTAAAACTTAAAATAGCTTTTGAATTATATTTAGTAATTACGCGAGAAAGAAAAATTGATACTAAGTGCCCGATAACAAAGAAAATCAACAAAATAAAAACAAATATTTATAATCTGCTTTAGGCATTTTCATATTACCTGAACTTTCCATTATTACATATCGGCAATTTGGGGTGTGCGATAGACTTGCCGCCACGTGGTGCACCCTGGGAAACGTATACTCATACGGCAAAAAAGTCTATTAACCGGTAGTTGACTTCTGACTTCAAAATACCATGGCACGACTGCTTGTCATATTCGACCCCTTTCACAGCACTCATCTTACCCTTTTCTCTGCCTCTGTGTCTGTCCGCCTCTTTTACATCTGTGAATCGCTCTTCTGTTCCCCACCCCTCGACTTTCTGCTACTTTGATGAACCTTCCCTCTGTGAAGCCCGAAGTCAATTAAAGGTTTAGTGATAGCTATCAAAACGCCTGCCATTTGAAATAAATAAATAAATATCTGCAATTTAAATTGGAAATGTCGTTTCTTGCTTGCCTGGTGTTTCCAATTGATTTATCCGAATTTTTTACCAAAATACTTTAACTGAATGCATCTTTAAAATTTGCCTTGAAATTTCGATTCATCGGAGTTAATTTTTGAAGAGAGAATCGGAATTTTTCTGACAGATTCGTGAGAGTATCTCAGGGAAACCATGAGATGAGAATGCGTTTTATTGATTGTGATTCTCCCTTTTTCATTTTAAGTTTTATTATAATTTTGATGAAATGATTGTGATAAGAGGAAACATGTGCATTTGCTATTCATTACTTTGATTTGGTTTTTCAGTTGAAATACTATTTATTGCAAATACCAGGGATGAACAGTTTAATTCGCTCTGCATTTTTAATTGATTTGTCTCACTCAATCAAATTTAACAATAAAGTATATATATATATATATATATATATATATATATATATAATGTACTTATTACTTTCAGAAATCGTTATAAACTTGGTTACAATGTAGCGAATTCAGAATTATGGGAATCTGGAATCTGCATGAGGAAGACATGCGGAATTTCTACTTTGCTCTTCGTGTTCCGAAACGGGTATACTTTTCATACTATTCATTTTATCGAATAAACAAATAATTTTTCTCATTGCCCTTTTAATAAAATATTAAAATTACGTAAAATTCAAGACCAAGTACAATAAAAAGCATAACTGAATATTCGAACATCACTACTTATACGTCATTGACGAAACAGTGAATTGCTAATGCACCAGACCAGAGTATATTTCGCCATCAAAACAATCTAACAAATTATTTAAAAGTTTTCTAAAACGTGTTTGAAAGCAAGTTTTTAAAGCGTCTTTTCTTTTTTAGGTTAAAAAACCGTGGAAACTAGTTCATAAAACAGCCGTAGCGGTCTACAATTCGCAATCAGTTAAACAGTTCTACATGTTGAGGCCTTATATTTTCATTCTTGGATCATGGCGTCACGACTTTATTCTCAACCTCCACTTAATTATCCCCCCCCCCTTCGGTCCCGACCCCCTGGCGGATCTTCCTGTCTTTTTCCTTCTTCAGATGCTTACTCTCGGTGGAAACCACCAATTTTGTGGTCGGCTTCAAATGAAGCTTAGCAATGTGTCCAGGCGAATTTAAACTGAACTTTGTTTTCTGCTTCTTTTGGTCGACAGCCTTCAGATCTTCACTGATGTATCCCACCAAAATATAATTCAATTTCAAAATATCAGCCTATCAAACTTCATTTATTAGTTGCTAAAGAATTCAACGCCAACAAATTTACAAATTATTAGTTTTTTAAAATGACATACTTTTTATTGTTGTAGACGAAAACTCATGATCACATTAAGCAAATTTTGATTGAACAAGTCTGCTTATCCAAATTCCTAGAAATTTATACGCATTTTTAATTTAATTTAGACTTTCTAACTTTGTTAAGTCCTTCTGCTTCACTATGGTCCATTTTGGTTACGCAAAATGTACTGGAAAACAATAGCCCTTAGAGTAACGAAAATTCCAATTCATTAGGATTTGTCATTCATCCTCTTCGATGAATAAGCCAATTTTGTATTGGTTTGTTCATTAAAAGAGCACAAATCAAGCAGAAAGAGGACAAATATTGATCATTCTGGTAATATTTATGCCTCAAATAAATAATTTTTCCCTTCTAGCAAATCCCTTTGGGATGTCCTTTATGAGAATTGGGAAGAAATCAATTCTAATATGCCCATTAATGAAATACTGGCCTGGTAAACGGAGTGGGTTAAAGCGCCTGAATAAAGGTAGAATTACATTTAATGAAGACCAAAAATAGAACAATATGACAATTGTTAAAATCCGGAATTAAATAGGAGAGCAGTAGACTTTTAAGCTTATTGACGCACCTGTAAAATGGATGGGTATTTAGAATTGGGCAAGTGAACTTAACACTGATCAAAAATGACAGATAAGATCAAGCATGATCACACTAGTTGGGGGCAGTCTTCTTCATTCTGCTTAGTGGTAATTATCACTATTTTTATGAAAACTCTAAGTGCATTTAGTTTTAAGTAAAAATAAAACTCGCTTCCCACAAAATTTCTTGGGTCACTCAAAGTACAGCATATACCATGTGAAAATATAACAAGTGCATAACTTTATGCATCCACAAATATTTTTGGCAATAATTAGAAATAAACAGACTATTAGGTGCGTTCAAACAAAATGAGAGTTTATTTGAATTTCCCTGTTAACTGTCCCACGTACCAAAACACGGGTCGAATATGCATCGATATTTGCAAGTAGTTGCTTGACATATTGATTCATATTAATTGACAGAAAAGCCTATAATCTAATACTCCTTCTGAAGATGGGTACCCTAAATGACTTAAAAGCGCTGAAATAGAAATACGTCGTTGGAGGATAGTAGCTGTCTATTTATAAGTCTAACTGCTTTTAATCAAATATTAAAATAAACAAAATCACCAGCATAAATCTGTGATATATAAAAGTGTTCGTTTTCCTTTTCACAAGTTTACACTCCATTTGCAAAGAAATTGAAGAAAATAGACAAAGGTTAGTTGGGTGGTGTCAAAGAAACGCCAGAATGAAGTTGGCTTATCTTCAAATAAATATAATGTGAATGAAATCAAGGAATATTTTTTGCTATATCTAAGAGATGATCAACGAAAACTACAAGATAAGTAGGTGGGGAGTCTATACTTCAGATCTGGGATGAGTGATTTATTATTTTGGATTGAGGATACAATGTGGATGGAACTGACCTTTGCTTGAAATGGCAGATTGGACGTTTTTCACACACTAATACCCGGTGGGTCAGGCAGGTAATTATTAAGGGAGGCTGGCAACAAAACATGGCATGTGTATTTGTGCGTCAATTATTAAGGGGCTCTAAGTGATTACCCCATGAAGGAATGGTGTTTGAAAATTCGTTGGAAATGTTAGTTATTTGACACACCGATTGAAGGTGCGAAATTCCATGTGCTAGTATTAACATTTTAACTGATGAATTAACTGTGAAAATTACTACGTCAGAAACTTAAATGTCACCCGTGTAAGTCCAGTGAAAATATGAAACACCTCTGCAAATAAGACGTAATTTGTATTATTTAAAGTATAATTATTGAAGGTTCTGAATAATTAAATCAATGGCTTGTAAGCTTAAAGATTTTAAAGTCTTATTTTAATTATAAAATAAATGGAAATAATAGACAACTTCCCCATAAAAGTATAATAAAAGTAACAAAACAACAATTTCTCTCGATGTTATTTTAAAAATATCAGCATTAAATGCGATATAAAATTAGTGTGTATTTATGCTTTAAAAGAATATAAAAAATAAAGTTGTATTGTTAGTCATGGAAGAGGTAAATGTATTATCTCTTTTATTCCTCTGGAAAACATAAAAGAAACCATACTACTTTAAAATAAAATGGAAACTCGGTGAAATTAAATGATTAGTTAACTTGAATTTGATTGTCTGAAAGAAGAAATTTGAAATATTAAATATCATATTCAGCAAAGTGCTATATATATTTTAAAATGTATCTTTTACTAAAAGCAATAACTAAAAGTTAAACTCTTGTAGATAGCGAGAGATATTATAAAATATAGAGTACCAGAAAACATAATCTATGACTCACGAAATCCGTTGCCTTCTTGAAATTCCACTGAATCAAATATGACCTTAAAATTGAAAAATAAAACAATTTAAACTTTTAATAAGTGTATGTTAGATAATTAAAATATATGCTTTCAAATCAAGATTATATTATATACTTATTTTTTATTTCTTGGGTTATATTAAAAAACTCTTTTAGCAAAACATGCGTTAACATCGAAGTATGGTGGAGGCATATTTACATTAAGTATAATCCGGGACAAATTCTGTTTTAGTGCATGATTTTTGTAAACCTTAAAAACCTTTGTTTTAAATAATTATAACCTGAGAATCTTTATATAGTGCTCCTCCTATCTAAGTATTGTTAATAAATTGAAAATGTAAAATATCTAACCTCGTTTTTAAGTTATACTTGGTCCATTCATAAAAAATGAATGTTTAATACCAACATATGCTGGAATTTATTTTTAATATCCATTTCAACCGTATGAGACTAGCTTCCACTTCTTTTCTCCAATATTCGATAAGTGAAGTGTATGTTGATTTGATTCATTTTATTGTCTCCATCGTAATTCATTCAGTCCATTGATGAGGTCCGTCTGCATAGTAGTTGTTGTTTTGTGTATTTTTCGAGTGTGATAAGCATGTGAAAAATTTCATAAGTGAAAAGAATTAAAAGCAGTTTCTGTTCAGTCTGATGTAATATGCTTCATATTATATGGTACTTTAGATTGTAGTAAACCTGTAAATTTGACAATACAGGAGCCAGGCGAAAATCTAAAAGCAACCAGAGGAATAAGTTTGAATGTAAAGCCCTTAAAGCAGCATTTTGCTAAAGAGATTGGGGGGGTGGATAGCTTACAACCTGGGGTTCAAAATTACTCCCATAGCCTGCTTAAGTACACCGTCAAGAAGAACCCTATTGATGAATTTATCCCTCATATTATCTCCAAGACTACCCGTTTTCTTTACCAATCTAAGAAAATGTAGGGATCTGCTCTACCCTTATAATAAACTATTTGTTAGGATGTTAGTTTGAAGGTGGTCCAATCTGCAGTACACGACCTTTCAATATGGGGTGTGTGATGGACTTACCTCCACGTGGTGCACCCTTGGCAACGTATAATCATACGGCAAAAAAGTCTATTATTCGGCAGTTGACTTCCGACTTCAAAACACCATCACCTCACTCTATGTCATATTCGACTACTTCCACAGTACTCACCTCACCTTTTTCACTCTACCTTTGTGTCTCTCTCTTTAACATCTTTGAAATACTCTTCTGTTCTCCCTCCCCCCTCCCAATCTCGACTTTTTTCACTTTGATGTTCCTTCTTCTCTGTGAAGCCTGAAGTCAACTAAACGGCTTATGATGACTATCAAACTGCCTGCCATTTGTTATAAACCTTTCAATATTGTTAGATGTGAAAAAGCAAACGTTGGCTATGGCTTGTTTGAACGACAATAAGTTTACTTAGTTACCTAGCTATAAATTTGTGGGACACTTCATCACGGGCGCACACACTAGGCTTAAGGTGCGGCCGTGCAACCTCGCACACGGATTGGTTGCGGAGAAGCGCAACCAATGACCAATAGAAATCCTGCTACAGAACACTACTCAGAGATATTTGGCTATTAATGTTCACTCGAATGGGGTGTGCGATAGACTTACCTCCACGTGGTGCACCCTGGGCAACATATACTCATACG